GACTCTGAGGATCCCCGCGTTACGACCTTCTCCGCGAGCACGTCGTCTTGCGTCACACGACCGCGACGTCGCCGCGCGCCGTGCGCTGGGCGAAGAAGTCGACCCACTCGGCGTCGTCGAACATCGTGAAGCCCGTCCTGTCGGAAAGGGCGTCATGAACGCGGTCGCCCCGGCGCACGTGGACGCCGAGCGCGACGCGCGTCTCCGCGGGCAGGTCGAGCGCCGAGCGCATCGCCGCGGTCGTGGCCCGGACCGCCGCGCTCGGGCGCCAGAGGACCTCGGTGAACGCGGCCAGAGCCTCGTACCGCGTCCAGTTTCTCGCGAGCGCGCGCTTCGCGGCCGCGGCGCTCCGCGGCGCGCGCGCGGCCGCGCACGCGGCGTCGTCGACGGGCGCGTAGAAGCAGCCCATCGTCGCTTTTTTTTTCTTGCGGCCGCAGCCGCGGCCGTAGTCGTCGGCCGCGTGGACGTGGGGCGGATTATGGACAGGGCTCGACGAAAACAACTTGTCCAGGCGCTTGCCCTTCGTCGCCACGTCGAAGGCGAGCTGCGTCGCCTGGTTGATCTGCGAGTAGAGGCCGCTTGGGTGGGGTGGTGACTTTTCCCTCGGGGCCTCGCGGAGCGCGCAGAGGATTCCGAGCATCTCGTCGCCTTGCGACGATAGCTGAGGCCCGCGCGACAGCTCCGGCGCGCCGCTGCCGAGGAGCGCGTCGCCGGCGTCGACGGCCGTCGCGTCGAGCGGCTCCACGGGAAATCCGCTTCCCACCAACTGCTCGACGCCGGCGTCGACGGCCGTCGCGTCGAGCGGCTCCACGGGAAATCCGCTTCCCAGCAACTCCTCGACGCCGGCGTCGACGGCCGTCGCGTCGAGCGGCTCCACCGGAAGTCCGCGGAATACGCCCCGCAGCGACAGCTCGCGCGCGAACAAGACCATGCTGCTGCACCGCTCGATAGTCGCATTCGGCCCGCTCCCCGTGACGAGTCGTCCCAGGCGACGATGGCCTGTTTTCGGATGGCCTGTTTTCGGATGGCCTGTTTTCGGATGGCCTGTTTTCGGATGGCCTGTTTTCGGATGGCCTGTTTTCGGATGGCCTGTTTTCGGATGGCCTGTTTTCGGATGGCCTGTTTTCGGATGGCCTGTTTTCGGATGGCCTGTTTTCGGAACGTCCAGCCAGGGGTCCCCGTGGCACTTCTCGGGCCCGAGGAGCAGGTCCGCGGCCGCCATGCAGTGGAGCGCGACGAGCGGGTGGCCCGCGCCGTGGAAACTCACGTCGAAGTCGTTTTCGAGGCCGACCGTGCGGCCGTCGACGAGGTGCGACGCGCCGTCGCGCCGCGCGCCGCACGATCCCGACGTCGAAACCCTCGAGGGTCGCGGCGACGGTCTCCGGCGGCGAGTCGCTCAGGATGAGCGTGTGGACGCGGCGCCCCGGGAGCCGCGCTCGCAACGCCGCGACGACGCGGAGCGCGTTCCGCAGGTGCCCGCCCTCGCTCCTCATCTCGAGGCGGGTCACCTCGGCGGAGGCGTTCGCGTACATTTCGCCGGACAGGTCGGGGTGGATCAGGTCGCCGAGGCGCACGTGGACGACGACGCGGAGCTCGCCGTCGGCCGCGCCGCAGTCGACCAAGGCGTCGCGGTCGACGGCCGCGTAGGCCTTGGCGACCGCGCGCCTCCCACCCGCCGGCGGGAGCGCGTCGAAGCCGAACCACTCGTCGAGCGGCGGCGCGAGGAAGCACTCGAAGTGGTCCCGGAACAGCGCGTCGCCCGTGGACCAGCGCCGGCATTCTGTACACTGCGACTTCCCCACGCACTCGTTCGTCTTTTCCTTCCAAGCGCACGTCGTTTTTGCCGCGCAATTTTGCTCGCCGCGTATTCGTTCGCAACTTGAAGGAACCCATTTATTCGCGTTGAGCCAATCTCGTTGGTGGCAGTAGAGCGACGGCGCGAAGCCGTCGCCGAGGCCGTCGACGTCGCGCAGGTAGGCGCCACTGTCGGCCACGTACTCCTGGAAGTAGCGCGCGCCCGGCGCCCCGCGGCGGGTGGCGATCATCCCGACGACGCAGCGTCCGACGTGGCCGAGGCCGTCGGTTCCGCAATCGACTCTGTTCTCGTCGAATCCGCCGTTTCTTCTGACATGAATACGTGACATGATGCTTTCTCTGAGGGGCGGGAAATACTTGGCAAAAAGGGGGTTCGGTGGGACGAAGGTCGATCCGCGCTCGCAGACGTGCTTCGACACGAGGGCAAAGTCGGGCGAGATCGCCGGCGCCGCCAGCGCGAGGCGCCACCATGACGTGTTCGACATGTCTAGCGTGTTCGACGTGTCCAGCGTGACGCGCCCCGCCGCCGCCGCCGTGGCGAAGGCGATCGCGCGGATGAGGCGCATGGTTGAATCTGCGGGGGAATCGACGCGATCGGGACTTCGTCTCCGGAGCGAGCGACCTCGTCGTCGAGCGGAAAGACGGGTGGTCGTCGGAACGCGGGGCGGGGCCGACGGCTCGCGGATCGAAGACGACTTTCTTCGGCGACGAACGACCGCGGGCCCCCGGCGCCGGGACCGCTTCCCCCGCCGGGCGTTCACGATGGTCGAGGCCATGCGGGGAGGGGGCGGCACGGACGCGCCGCGACGAACCGACCCCCCCACGTATCGAGCTCGCTTCGCCGATTCTAGGCGCTCGACGGGCCCCTTTTCGACGGTTGTCACCCTCAGAGGGGGGCGTGGCGGGTCGCGCGGGGGGTATGGCAAGGTCTGGGGGCGGGGAGTCGGCCCTTTCGGCGCGGAACATCGCAGTTTAAGCCTCGCGGCGGTCGTAGGCGCAAAATCTCCACTACGACTCCATGTCAAGCGATTCATTGGTACGTTGCCGACGCCTTCGCCGGGGGTAGGGGTCTGGGCGCGCGAGTCTGCCCGTTTGGCGCTTCGAGCCCGCGCGGGCGCCTACTGCGCCGCGCCCGGCCGGCGCGCCGCGAAGCTCCGCGCGGCCCTCGACGCGCGGTCGCTGCCGTTCCTCCGCCCCGGCGTCCACGCGCCGTCGCGCTGCGCGGGCGATGTCGAGTGCGGCCGCGAGGCCTGGTTCATCGAGGGCCGCGCCTTCTTCGACACGAACGCGCCCACGGTGCCGAGCGCCATCGTCGACCGCGGCGCCGGGCCCCCCGGTACGCGTCGGGCGCGCCGCCGTCGCCGGCCATCCCCCCGACACCCCCCTGCGCCCCGATTACAACGGTACCAGTCCTAGGACCGCGGGCACGCGTCGCCGACGCGCGCTCCGGCGACGTTGATACATCAGTTTTTGCGAAGCCGCCGCCACGGAGACCAGCGCGGGCGTCAACGAGCACACAACGACTTCGTTGATTTTTTTGGGTAATAGATGTTATGAATGTAGAAAGACTATGTGTGACCGTTGTAATAGGTCCATGTCCGACAATAGCTCGACGCGGCCGCGGAGGCG